ACACACTGCCCGTCACAAACACCACACACTGCCCATCACAAACATCACACACTGCCCATCACAAACACCACACACTGCCCGTCACAAACACACCACACACTGCCCGTCACAAACACCACACACTGCCCATCACAAACACCACACACTGCCCATCACAAACACCACACACTGCCCGTCACAAACACACCACACACTGCCCGTCACAAACACACCACACACTGCCCATCACAAACACCACACACTGCCCATCACAAACACCACACACTGCCCATCACAAACACCACACACTGCCCGTCACAAACACACCACACACTGCCCGTCACAAACACACACACTGCCCGTCACAAACACCACACACTGCCCGTCACAAACACCACACACTGCCCATCACAAACACCACACACTGCCCGTCACAAACACACCACACACTGCCCGTCACAAACACACCACACACTGCCCGTCACAAACACCACACACTGCCCGTCACAAACACCACACACTGCCCGTCACAAACACCACACACTGCCCGTCACAAACACCACACACTGCCCATCACAAACACCACACACTGCCCGTCACAAACACCACACACTGCCCGTCACAAACACACCACACACTGCCCATCACAAACACCACACACTGCCCGTCACAAACACCACACACTGCCCGTCACAAACACCACGCACTGCCTGTCACAAACACCACACACTGCCCATCACAAACACCACACACTGCCCGTCACAAACACCACACACTGCCCGTCACAAACACCACACACTGCCCGTCACAAACACCACACACTGCCCGTCACAAACACCACGCACTGCCCGTCACAAACACCACGCACTGCCTGCCACAAACACCACACACTGCCCGTCACAAACACCACACACTGCCTGTCACACCACACTGCTTCAAAGCAGCTTTACAGTGATAATAGGAAATTAAAGTAACAGAGATTGTTTAGGCTTTACAGCAGCTCTAGAATAAAGTTATTGTCCAGCTAAAGTTAGTTTTGATCGATTCACTTCCGTTGCAAAGATCATTAGTTATTAACTTAGGGGCCGCTAACACGACACGGCTCTAACAGAAAACCCTTAACGCGCTCCAGCCCGCTCATTCACACAACAACAGTGCCTGGTGGCTCGAGAACACAAACCTTGAATAGGTTCCAAGGTGCAAGCCTTGAAGAAGAAAAAATGTATATATATATATACAGTATATATACACTCACCTAAAGGATTATTAGGAACACCTGTTCAATTTCTCATTAATGCAATTATCTAATCAACCAATCACATGGCAGTTGCTTCAATGCATTTAGGGGTGTGGTCCTGGTCAAGACAACCTCCTGAACTCCAAACTGAATGTCAGAATGGGAAAGAAAGGTGATTTAAGCAATTTTGAGTGTGGCATGGTTGTTGGTGCCAGACGGGCCGGTCTGAGTATTTCACAATCTGCTCAGTTACTGGGATGTTCACGCACAATCATTTCTAGGGTTTACAAAGAATGGTGTGAAAAGGGAAAAACATCCAGTATGCGGCAGTCCTGTGGGCGAAAATGCCTTGTTGATGCTAGAGGTCAGAGGAGAATGGGCCGACTGATTCAAGCTGATAGAAGAGCAAGTTTGACTGAAATAACCACTCGTTACAACCGAGGTATGCAGCAAAGCATTTGTGAAGCCACAACACGCACAACCTTGAGGCGGATGGGCTACAACAGCAGAAGACCCCACCGGGTACCACTCATCTCCACTACAAATAGGAAAAAGAGGCTACAATTTGCAAGAGCTCACCAAAATTGGACAGTTGAAGACTGGAAAAATGTTGCCTGGTCTGATGAGTCTCGATTTCTGTTGAGACATTCAGATGGTAGAGTCAGAATTTGGCGTAAACAGAATGAGAACATGGATCCATCATGTCTTGTTACCACTGTGCAGGCTGGTGGTGGTGGTGTAATGGTGTGGGGGATGTTTTCTTGGCACACTTTAGGCCCCTTAGTGCCAATTGGGCATCGTTTAAATGCCACGGCCTACCTGAGCATTGTTTCTGACCATGTCCATCCCTTTATGGCCACCATGTACCCATCCTCTGATGGCTACTTCCACCATGTCACAAAGCTCGAATCATTTCAAATTGGTTTCTTGAACATGACAATGAGTTCACTGTACTAAAATGGCCCCCACAGTCACCAGATCTCAACCCAATAGAGCATCTTTGGGATGTGGTGGAACGGGAGCTTCGTGCCCTGGATGTGCATCCCACAAATCTCCATCAACTGCAAGATGCTATCCTATCAATATGGGCCAACATTTCTAAAGAATGCTTTCAGCACCTTGTTGAATCAATGCCACGTAGAATTAAGGCAGTTCTGAAGGTGAAAGGGGGTCAAACACAGTATTAGTATGGTGTTCCTAATAATCCTTTAGATGAGTGTGTATATATATATATACATATTTTTTTTTTTTTTTTCAGAATCTGCTTCAGACTGTAGCTCCAGCGCACAACAGTTTCAGGCCTGGACTTCACCTAGCACCTCAGGGTAACATTTAACGTTAGTTTGAGGACTGGAGGTTTCTGGCTCTAAGCATGTCTTCAGCTCCACCTCATGGAAGAACTTTCCTGCTCCAGATTCAGGCCCTGAACACACCATATATAGGGGGTCGCACACCGGACGAGAAGCGCAGCGCCAGGTCTTTAAAATTCGAACACATTATTCTCCATGAGTGTACACACACCGGCGGCGCCATTCGGCGTCTGTCCGCGGCGCCCAGCTACGGCTCAGGACCTTGTTCAAAACCCTGCCGCGCCACAGAGCGCCATTTGCATAGTTTTATATTAAATTTGCATTTATTTGTCTCAAATCGTCGTTAATGTACATGGCTTCACCCTGTGCTGTTTTCACTCGGGTTAGCTAAACGCTAGCTAAATAAATACTATTGTATTATGTGACATAGTTGCCTAGACAACGGATAACGTTACAACAAAATAACAGACTCAACGTGATAGACACTTTTACTTGATTAACGTTCAAACATCAGCTATTATTCAATGAACATAAAAAAATAAATAATAAATCAAGATAAAACACACATCGTGCAGCTCTTCTACCAGGAGTTGATTCAAAATTGTGCTCGCGCGATTAGAATGTGCGCGTCCGGTGTGCGATACCTGGAGTTGTCCTAGACGTGGCGCGACGCGGCGCTGCGCTTCTCGTCCGGTGTGCGACCCACTTATGAGTTCATCAGGATTATCTCTGGGCTGATAGAGTTGATGAATTCAACAAAGCCTTTGAGTCTGCAGTCACATAGCCAGTGATTATCACGCAGCGCTAGAGCGGCACCGGCCCAATCCTCTGCATTCTGCGTCTGTATGCGGGGCCAGTCGAGGAACACGTCTCTGGAAATGACGGTAAGCTAATTGAAGGATAAATTGGGCAGGTGGCGCAGGGCATGTTCTGGGAGCACGTCTATTCGGTTGTGTTTCAGGTCCAAAATGTCAAGGATCTGAGTGTCCCGAAAAGCAGTCCATGGTATTGTTGCCCTGTATGCATTTTGTTGCCCTGTATGCGTAACTCTGTCAGGTTGTGCAGTCCCTCCAGGCTTCTGACATTCATTACAGTTATATTGTTTAAATTCAGCCATAGGAACGCCAAGGCACTGACCGTAGCGGATGCCGCTGGAGGGATTTCAACTAGGTGGGAGTTTTCAATACGGATTTTGATGTAATTCTTAGGAATGTTTTGCGGGATCCTTCCTAAGGGAAGCTCCGTACATAGCAAAGACATGTACGTTAGCAGGAAATAAAGGGACATTTTGGTCTGTGTTTACTGGAAAACATCAATACACATAAAAGACACTTAAAGTTCTACCCTAGATAAATTTAATCGAGCTACACATTGAGTTACTGGGTGAATTAAAGTGTTTCTAGCAGCCTAAAGTAATGACAGTCACACATCTGTTCTGAACGCCTGCCTCACCGTCCGAAGGGCTCTTCCCTGAAGGAGCATCCGGTCGAAAACACAGGGATCGGGTCGGACACAGGGATCGGGTCGGACACAGGAATATACGGTCGGACACAGGGATCCGGTCGGACACAGGGATTGGGTCGGACACAGGGATCAGGTTGGACACAGGGATCGGGGACACAGGGATCGGGTCGGACACAGGGATCGGGTCGGACACAGGGATCCGGTCGGAAACAGGGATACGGCTGGACACAGGGATCTGGTCGGACACAGGGATCGGGTCGGAAACAGGGATCGGGTCGGACACAGGGATCGGGTCGGACACAGGGATCCGGTCGGAAACAGGGATCGGGTCGGACACAGGGATCGGGTCGGACACAGGGATCGGGGACACAGGGATCGGGTCGGACACAGGGATACGGTCGGACACAGGGATCGGGGACACAGGGATCGGGTCGGACACAGGGATCGGGTCGGACACAGGGATCCGGTCGGACCCGAGGAAGAGGAAGAGCACAGACAGAGCCGTGAGGAAGACGGCCATAGTGTTCTGAAGACGCTCGTTGAGCGCTTTATCTGTGGTACTGCTTCACTTAAGCTCATTACTCTTAATCTATCCTGACGCAGTGGATCAGGGAGAAAATGATGCTTAGACACAATACTGTGTTATTTTAGAGGTGCTTACCAGCAATAAATAATGAACATGATCAAATTAAATGACTTTTGTTCAGTTGCTGTGCAGTAATGAAATAAAATAATAAGATAAAACAAAATAAAACAAGATAAAACAAGTGTTAAGAAATATTAATTCTCTAAATCCCTCTCTCAATCATGTAAATAGCTTTAATACAGAATTACATTTGGGATCTCAGACATTAAACACACGGCAGCTCCGTGCGGTTCACTGGATCTGTGGAGTAAATCCTATTATCCTTAATGCTCAAACTTCAACGGAAGTTTCTAAATATTGCTTTGAGCATTCAGACGAACTAGGAATAGAACGGCTAATGTGCTCGTACATGTCAAGAACCATATTTAAAAAAATGGTTTTATTCAGTCATTTTCTTAAACAGAAATATTTCAGTACATAGAGACATCAACAAATTCCTGATTTGACAGATTATAAGTACAGTTTTAGGGTTAAAGTGGAAAACACTCACCCAAGATAACAGTATAAAGAAAAACAAGTAAAAAGAAAAAGTTTAAGCATGTACGTCACTAACCCTCTCCTGGCGGTCCAAACAGAAAGTCTTACGCTCTCACTTTCTCTATCAGACAGATGGGTATTACGTGTTGTATAAAGATATTTCACTGTATTCAATATGCATGATAAATTCATCAATGATAAACATTTCATTGGAAAAGTGCATGACAAAAATAAAAAACAAAGACATTATTTCATTTTCCCTTTTTGAACAGTGAACTTTCTCTAAACTGGTTTGTTCCCTTTCGGGGCTGAGGAAGGTCAATATGCTTTCAAACACATGAAACTGAGTCTGGATCAACAGAAGTACTCGTTGGGCTGTCCCTTGGTCCGGGCCATGGGTCTGGATCAACAGAAGTACTCGTTGGGCTGTCCCTCGGCCCGGGCCATGGGTCTGGATCAACAGAAGTACTCGTTGGGCTGTCCCTTGGTCCGGGCCGTGGGTTTGGATCAACAGAAGTACCCGTTGGGCTGTCCCTCGGCCCGGGCCATGGGTCTGGATCAACAGAAGTACTCGTTGGGCTGTCCCTCGGCCCGGGCCGTGGGTTTGGATCAACAGAAGTACACGTTGGGCTGTCCCTTGGTCCGGGCCATGGGTCTGGATCAACAGAAGTACTCGTTGGACTGTTCCTCGGCCCGGGCCATGGGTCTGGATCAACAGAAGTACTCGTTGGGCTGTTCCTCGGCCCGGGCCATGGGTCTGGATCAACAGAAGTACTCGTTGGACTGTTCCTCGGTCCGGGCCATGGGTCTGGATCAACAGAAGTACTCGTTGGGCTGTCCCTTGGTCCGGGCCGTGGGTCTGGATCAACAGAAGTACTCGTTGGACTGTTCCTCGGCCCGGGCCGTGGGTCTGGATCAACAGAAGTACTCGTTGGGCTGTCCCTTGGTCCGGGCCGTGGGTTTGGATCAACAGAAGTACTCGTTGGGCTGTCCCTCGGCCCGGGCCATGGGTCTGGATCAACAGAAGTACTCGTTGGGCTGTCCCTCGGTCTGGGCCGTGGGTCTGGATCAGCAGAAGTACTCGTTGGGCTGTCCCTCGGCCCGGGCCATGGGTCTGGATCAACAGAAGTACTCGTTGGGCTGTCCCTCGGTCTGGGCCGTGGGTCTGGATCAGCAGAAGTACTCGTTGGGCTGTCCCTCGGTCCGGGCCGTGGCTGCCGAGTCGAGGCTGGAGCGGGCCGACAGCAGGCGGTTGGACTCGTCTGGGTTCAGTCTGCTGAGGTATTCCCCCTCCAGGCCTTTAGCTTTGGTGCCCGGAGACAGAGTCTCAAACGTCACATAGGAATCCTGAATGTCTTTGGCCTTGCGTCCCAGCAGTTTCTGCAGCCTCTTCTTCAGCGCCCCGCAGCACACGATCAGGGTCAGAGGAACCGCGATGACGCAGGCGACTGTGATCACCACCACGTTAATGAGCTTCTGTGTGCCGCTGGCACTGGCCGCCTCGTCCGTGGAGAAAATCACACACTGCTCTTTCTTAGGGATGAGGCCTTTCACACATACACACGCTATGTACTTGGTTTTGGGCACGAGGCCTTCGATCGTGATGCGATTCTTGCCGGGTCCGACATTAATGCGCCGCATATCTCGCTCACCGAAGACGGCGTACAGAACGCTGAAGGACGTGGTGTTGGTGGCCGTGGGTGCTCGCCAGTTCAGGGATACGGTGTGGTCGGTGTCGCCGATCACTTTGACCGACCGAACGACTCGGCGCTCAGGGACCTGCTGTAGAGAAGAAGCATTGGCCTCAAGGTTCCTCAACACGTCTTTCTGAAGCTCCTCGGCGCTGTCGGTTTCTGTGCTGGCTGCCGGTGCCGCCGTGGCGTTCGCTTTGGGAGCATCATCAGAAACGCTGTAGCTTTCGACCCGGATGGATTGTGTGTTTTTCGGTCCGTTTAGGGGCTCAATAATGGGCACGGCGGCTGATGTGGCAGGAGGCACGTATCTGGCCACGAGTTTCTCTTGATACGCCGCACGACCAAATCCACCGTTCTTCTTTCCATGGCTTCTTTTGGCGACCGCTTCGTCGATTTGCCATGTATCAGAAATGACGAGTGAGATGATGGCATCGGCACTCCCGACAAAGTTCGTGGCTCTGCAAACATATTTCCCTGAATCTAGATAGGAAACAGCAGGAACGCTGAGAATGGACCAGATGATGCCCTCTTTAGAGACTTCCTGTTGAACTATAGGATAAAAGAAAAAAATTTTACATTAGTATGAGTTCTGATGTTGCATTTTGCATCTAGCTGTGCAATTACACATAACAGCGATCACAACTAATTTCACTTGCATGTTTGCATCTCTCTTATTGCTTAAGCAGCGGATTCCATTTATTTATTTGTTTAGCAGTTAAAGCACGCCTGGGCGCCGCATTCATTTAGCAGGAGCAATAAACCCAGGCAGACACGAGACGAGAGCGAGCGTACCGGTGCCGTTCATGGGCTTGGCGTCGGCCCGGGACCAGGCCAGCTCCGGGATGGGCACTCCGATGGTCCCGCAGCGCAGAAGCACGTTGTTCCCGATGGAGCTGCGGACCCTGGCGACGGCCGTGTGCACGCGGGGAACCTGGCACTTGCGGAGCTCAGCGTCCGAGAAGAGGACTCCTGACAGGCTCTCCGGCTCGGCACAGCGCAGGCCTGTATCGATCAACGCCACCGAGGATGAAGGAAACTTCTGGAACTGCACCATATCAAACAGACGACAGTCACACTGCCAGGGGTTGTCGTGAAGACCTGCACAAAGAACAGACACTTACGTCAATGTTTTTCTATTGGTTAATGACTAAGACTCAAATGGTCAGACTGTAGAAATAAACTCACCCAGTATCATTTTGGAGTTCTCTGTATCTGGAGGAGGTTTCAGAGAGAACCATGAAGTCAGAACCTCGGCGGGGACGGTACCAAGACTGTTGCTGGACAGATCCAGATAGGTCAAGTTTTTGATGTAAATGGTTGCCTCAGCTGGGATGCTGCTGATTTTATTGTTGTGCAAATCCAGAAGCCGAAGGCTGGGCATGTCCGTCAAACATTCCCATGGAAATGAAGTGAGAACATTCCCATCCATCCGTAGTTCATCCAAGGCATAGAGTCCTCGGAAGCTGTCGGCGCTGAGGGAGGAGAGCGAGTTGAAGGATATCCAGAGGTACTCCAGGTTAATGAGGTAAAGAAAGGTATCGCTGGACACACGGCTGATGGACGTCTTCTCGATGCGGAGTTTGGAGGTGTCCGAGGGAAAGTTGTTTGGGATGACAGTGAGGTCAGGGCCATTACACAGGACACTCCTATAGAAACACAGCACAGAGATGTGTTTATGACAGTCACGTCCTTATGATCAAACACAAATAAGAATTATCCACTTTTATTTACAATTATAGTAGTCAACAATGATACGCTGTGCACTATTCTGGGTTTACTTTTATTGTGTATTATTATTATTATTATCATCATCACACTGTGTGCGATGAACGCCAGAGGCCTGAAACACTGCGACGGAGGAGATTAAAAAGCACACGCGCGTTAATCCAATGACTAAATGAAGAGCAGGCTCAGTCTGGCATGTCAATATTCTGCAGACAACGGTCCATACGAACCCTTTCTACAGTAACATCTGAGTTCAGTAAATGACAGAGTCCATGTGAAATACCTTGACTTGGAGCCGTCGCTCAGTTTGTGGTAGAAGCAGCTGCACTGAGCAGGACAGGATCCGCAGATCGAGGGGAGAAAACACAGCGCCAGCGCTAAACCCCAAAACATCTTCTGTGCCTCCTGTTCTCTCTCGCTGTGATCCTGAGTCTGTTATTCCTGCAGCATCTCTGTGTCTCTCCAGCTTCTGCTCGCTCTGCTCCGAATCCCCAGATAAAAGGGATAGAGCAGATTAGAGGAAGGACTTGGGTATTTTCATTTACACGATTATTCCTTCCTGGAAGCCCATAGGCTGTGCGGTTGCCTTTTGTATATATACAGAACAGAGACGTCCCTTTTTGATTGGAGGGTTAATTTTAGACCTGGGATTGGACAGAAGTTTGTGAATTCACAGCATTGTATTGGTGATCGGCTGTCTTTTATTCTATTTTTACCACACGTCGAAGAAACCATACAGTGGGGAGAAAATTTATTTTTTATGATGTTGCTTTTCAAAGATTACTTAAACATTTTGTAATAGATATATTAAATAAAAAACATGATACATGCAAATGATAAGTGTTTTGTTTGTTTGACCTTTGACTTCAAATCCATGCATCAAAACGTCAATTAAATTCAATGATGCACATAAGCAGGAATTTTCACTTCAGCAAAAACAGTGTTTGTGGTGCATTAAATTGAAGATAATATGAAATCTGCATTTTTATGGTTTTCTAATACATCTACTTTACTAACACATCTGGTTATAATGGTTAGATAACATTAATATCTTTACTGTCTAACATGATTAAAACAAAAATGCAGATGGTGATACTTTAACAGTGTCGTGTGTGTGTGTGTGTCGTGAGGAACACCTGGTGGCAGTATGGAGTCTTTTTACCGTCTCCAGACTGAAATACATTCATGTGCATAGTCTTCAGAATATATAATATTTTGTAGGGTCTACAAAATATTTGTATAGCATGATAAATACACAGTAGCCTATATTTGTTCCACATTCTGTCCTGTAGAATAATAATGGAAATCCACACCATTCATCATATTTAATCTATGAATTAACTCACGTTTATTAAACAGATCCGAGTGTAGAGAACTAGGTTCTGATTTCTCAGGTTCACTCAGATTGCACATTTTAATCATCCATTTAATAGAAACTCTTATCAGAGGAAAACAACAGGGGAAAGTACAAATGCTTCAAATGCTCCAGCTTTGTTCTTTGGAGAGTCTCTGTCAGCTAAAATACTTTAGTGAGATTACAGTGAACCCATTTCATTCGACTTTTGTACAATGTACGCATATTATTTCCCAATGGCATTAACATCTGAAATCTAAGAACAAAGAATTAGTTTCCTAATTGCAACCTTTGATTTGAATTCAGCAGCAAAGTGTTTAACAGTCTCGTTTAAAAGTGTGTCCACAAAATACAGACATTGTTGATTGATTCTGACACTTTTTATTTGATCTCTAGCAAAAAGGGTTAGTTTAGGTTTAGGTTAGGTTAGTTTAGCTTAATGTTAGGGTTAGATTATGTTAGGTTGAGGGATGAAGATGAAGCTGCAGAATATGAACTACATTTAGGAAGGGTACATAACCTTATTTTCTTATTTTTTATGGTGGAAATAAAACTTTTTGAGGATTTGAATTCCACCACGCCCCTTTAAACCTTAAAAATAAATATAATAATATATATAACGGTGGCCATAGCATAATATATGACAAGCTCACTGTGATTAACACAAATATGTCGGAACTACAGTGTATGTGTTGAGCATTTGATGTTTGAGCGTGTGTTCATCAGTAAATCGTGAGTGTGTGTGTTTGTTCTTCTTCGCTGTTCTCGGACGCATGACTGAGGAGAATGAGCGCAACAGCTTTTATTTCACAAACTTCTGCGGCATTAGAAATTAAAACATTCCTGCGGGGATTTTAGAGGCTTTAAATCTCACACACGCTTTCCCAAGCAAAGAGACACACATATAAAGTCTGGCACTGTAAGCGGACAGCTGTGAGAAACTGTTGAGAATGGCTTCATACACGTTACCGGAGGGTTTCAGTGATTTCGACATGTTCGCCTTCGGATCCGCGCTGCTGGTCGGCGGTGAGTGACGCTGATCGATCAACCAATCAATCGATCAATCCATTCATCCATGCTGGATAGTCCTTCAACGACGAATGTATTGATAAACAGAACTGATAACTGCATGCCACTGTGTTTGATTGATTAGTGAAGGCTGGTTTATCGATTACTGAGAGCTGGTCTTGTTGATCTACAGACTCCTATCCTCTGCTAGTGTGTTTGCTTATTGTGTTCACAAAACCTGTGCATAGAATTAAACAAATCTATTGATAACTTATTTAAAAAAGAAAGCTATGTAAACAAACTTTTCTGAAAGTTTCTGCATTAAAAAACGAGTCAGTAGTGATGGAGCTGGATGATGACGTCACTGTTTTCTGCAGAACTGCTTTATAGATGAAATGAACTTATTCAATAATTGATGATCATCTTTACAGCGAAACACTGAACTGACTTCAGCGGAACGACTCAGAACGCTTCATGTTCCTGTTATCTCTGTAAAGCTGCTCTCACACACTCTGTATTGTATAAGCGCTATAGAAATAAAGCTGACTTGACATGGTTATTATTGGTACTTTTTCGTTACTGTGGACTTGTAAGTCTTCTATCAGCATGATATATTATTTTTCTCTGTTTATTGCTGTGCACACAGTACGGTCTGAATATCTGAATATTTTCTTCCAGGCCTTCTCGGCTTCTCCCTTAACTTGATCTCAGCGCTGGCGTTCCTCCGAGTGCGAGAGATGCAGACGCCCAATAACTTCTTCATCTTTAACCTGGCAGTGGCGGATCTGAGCCTCAATATCAACGGGCTGGTGGCCGCGTACGCCAGTTATCTGAGGTATCAGCTGAACTTTTTTTTCATCTTTTTTTTACCAGGTTAAAAAAACTCATTGAGATTAAAATCTCTTTTACAAGAGTGACCTGGCTAAGATAGCAACTACAATAACATAGACATACAAATACACATCAAAACCAAAACTACTGCATCAATTCAGAACATCAATTGTATCTCTCTCTCTCTCTCTCTCTCGCAAATTATATTTTACGAGTTCACACTTACATACAATTAGAGGGAGTAAAGTGTAATGCGTATATTTGGGGGCTGAACCCAGAGTACTCCCCCCGTATGTAAATGGTTAGGACTAGACGAGTGGAGCAGGGGTGGTGGAGGGATGCTGTTAAACTGTCAATGGAGTGAGGTGAGACTGCTGAGTCTATATATACACCTCTTATCATTGATTGCTGAGTGCTCTCCACCCGTGTTAATTATCTGAACGCGCTCCCGAACAAAGCGCTCCCGAACTTTGTTAATAAAGCATCATATATGTTGAAAAACCAGTGTGTATTTGTGTTTTTTCTGACCTCTGACCTCTGGCAGATACTGGCCGTTCGGGTCCGAAGGCTGTCAGATTCATGGGTTTCAGGGAATGGTGTCGATTCTCGCCTCCATCAGTTTTCTGGGTGCCATTGCTTGGGACAGATATCACCTGTACTGCACCAGTGAGTAAACATCTTCCATCTAGAAAAGCGTTACTGAATTATCCTTCAGTGTTCATGGTGCCTCATTTCTTTAAGCCTTGCGTTCAGTGTTTGTAATGGTTCAGTGTGTTCAGTGACCCGCTGTTAGTCGGTATATGAGTGAGTGGAGTGTGTTTGCAGAGCAGAAGATGTTTTGGAGCACATCTGGAACCATGAGCGCCCTCATCTGGATCCTGGCTGTGTTCTGGGCCGCTCTGCCACTGCCTGCTATTGGCTGGGGAGTGTTTGACTTTGAGCCAATGAGAACCTGCTGCACACTGGACTACACACTCGGAGACAGGTAACACCTCACACACCTCACACACCTGACTCCAACACCTCACACACCTGACACACCTCACACACCTGACTCCAACACCTCACACACCTGACACACCTCACACACCTGACTCCAACACCTCACACACCTGACACACCTAACACACCTGACTCCAACACCTCACACACCTCACACACCTCACACACCTGACTCCAACACCTCACACACCTGACACACCTCACACACCTGACTCCAACACCTCACACACCTGACACACCTCACACACCTGACTCCAACACCTCACACACCTCACACACCTGACACACCTCACACACCTGACTCCAACACCTCACACACCTCACACACCTGACACACCCCACACACCTGACTCCAATACCTCACACACCTGACTCCAACACCTCACACCCTCACACACCTGACACACCTGACACACCTCACACACCTGACACACATCACACACCTCACACACCTCACACACCTAACTCCAACACCTCACACACCTCACACACCTAACTCCAACACCTCACACACCTCACACACCTCACACACCTCACACACCTCACACACCTCACACACCTCACACACCTAACTCCAACACCTCACACACCTCACACACCTAACTCCAACACCTCACACACCTCACACACCTCACACACCTAACTCCAACACCTCACACACCTCACACACCTGACACATCTCACACACCTCACACACCTAACTCCAACACCTCACACACCTCACACACCTGACTCCAACACCTCACACACCTCACACACCTGACTCCAACATCTCACACACCTCACACACCTGACTCCAACATCTCACACACCTGACTCCAACACCTCACACACCTCACACACCTGACTCCAACACCTCACACACCTGACTCCAACATCTCACACACCTGACTCCAACATCTCACACACCTGACTCCAACATCTCACACACCTGACTCCAACACCTCACACACCGGACACACCTGACTCCAACATCTCACACACCTGACTCCAACATCTCACACACCTGACTCCAACACCTCACACACCTCACACACCTGACTCCAACACCTCACACACCTGACTCCAACATCTCACACACCTCACACACCTGACTCCAACATCTCACACACCTCACACACCTGACTCCAACATCTCACACACCTGACTCCAACATCTCACACACCTGACTCCAACACCTCACACACCTCACACACCTGACTCCAACACCTCACACACCTGACTCCAACACCTCACACACCTGACTCCAACATCTCACACACCTCACACACCTGACTCCAACATCTCACACACCTCACACACCTGACTCCAACATCTCACACACCTCACACACCTGACTCCAACACCTCACACACCTGACTCCAACACCTCACACACCTGACTCCAACATCTCACACACCAGACTCCAACACCTCACACACCTGACACACCTGACTCGAACACCTCACACACCTGACTCCAACATCTCACACACCTCACACACCTGACTCCAACATCTCACACACCTGACTCCAACACCTCACACACCTGACTCCAACACCTCACACACCTGACTCCAACACCTCACACACCTCACACACCTGACTCCAACACCTCACACACCTGACTCCAACATCTCACACACCTGACTCCAACACCTCACTCCAACACCTCACACACCAGACTCCAACACCTCACACACCTGACTCCAACACCTCACACACCAGACTCCAACACCTCACACATCTCACACACCAGACTCCAACATCTCACACACCTCACACACCTGACTCCAACATCTCACACACCTGACTCCAACACCTCACACACCTCACACACCATACTCCAACACCTCACACACCTGACTCCAACATCTCACACACCTGACTCCAACACCTCACACACCTCACACACCAGACTCCAACACCTCACACACCTGACTCCAACACCTCACACACCTCACACACCAGACTCCAACATCTCACACACCTGACTCCAACACCTCACACACCTCACACACCTGACTCCAACACCTCACACACCTGACTCCAACATCTCACACACCTGACTCCAACACCTCACACATCTCACACACCAGACTCCAACACCTCACACACCTCACACACCAGACTCCAACACCTCACACATCTCACACACCTGACTCCAACACCTCACACACCTCACACACCAGACTCCAACATCTCACACACCTCACACACCTGACTCCAACATCTCACACACCTGACTCCAACACCTCACACACCTCACACACCTGACTCCAACACCTCACACACCTGACTCCAACACCTCACACACCTGACTCCAACACCTCACACACCTGACTCCAACATCTCACACACCTCACACACCTGACTCCAACATCTCACACACCTGACTCCAACACCTCACACACCTCACACACCAGACTCCAACACCTCACACACCTCACACACCAGACTCCAACACCTCACACACCTCACTCACACACCTGACTCCAACACCTCATACACCAGACTCCAACATCTCACACACCTCACACACCTGACTCCAACACCTCACACACCTCACACACCAGACTCCAACACCTCACACACCTCACTCACACACCTGACTCCAACACCTCATACACCAGACTCCAACATCTCACACACCTCACACACCTGACTCCAACATCTCACACACCAGACTCCAACATCTCACACACCTCACACACCAGACTCCAACACCTCACACACCAGACTCCAACATCTCACACACCTGACTCCAACATCTCACACACCTGACTCCAACATCTCACACACCTGACTCCAACACCTCACACACCTCACACACCAGACTCCAACACCTCACACACCTCACACACCAGACTCCAACACCTCACACACCTCACTCACACACCTGACTCCAACACCTCATACACCAGACTCCAACATCTCACACACCAGACTCCAATACCTCACACACCTCACACACCAGACTCCAACACCTCACACACCTCACTCACACACCTGACTCCAACACCTCATACACCAGACTCCAACATCTCACACACCTCACACACCTGACTCCAACATCTCACACACCAGACTCCAACATCTCACACACCTCACACACCAGACTCCAACACCTCACACACCAGACTCCAACATCTCACACACCTGACTCCAACATCTCACACACCTGACTCCAACACCTCACACACCTCACACACCAGACTCCAACATCTCACACACCTGACACACCTCACACACCTCACACACCTCACACACCTGACTCCAACATCTCACACACCTCACACACCTGACTCCAACATCTCACACACCTCAAACACCAGACTCCAACACCTCACACACCTGACTCCAACACCTCACACACCAGACTCCAACACCTCACACACCTCACACACCTGACTCCAACACCTCACACACCAGACTCCAACACCTCACACACCTGACTCCAACACCTCACACACCTGACTCCAACACCTCACACACCTGACTCCAACACCTCACACACCTGACACACCTCACACACCTCACACACCTGACACACCTCACACACCTCACACACCTCACACACCTGACTCCAACATCTCACACACCTCACACACCTGACTCCAACACCTCACACACCTCACACACCTGACTCCAACACCTCACACACCAGACTCCAACACCTCACACACCTCACACACCAGACTCCAACACCTCACACACCAGACTCCAACACCTCACACACCTGACTCCAACACCTCACACACCTGACTCCAACACCTCACACACCTGACTCCAACACCTCACACACCTGACTCCAACACCTCACACACCTGACACACCTCACACACCTCACACACCTGACACACCTCACACACCTCACACACCTGACTCCAACATCTCACACACCTCACACACCTGACTCCAACATCTCACACACCTGACTCCAACACCTCACACACCTCACACACCTGACTCCAACATCTCACACACCTGACTCCAACATCTCACACACCTGACTCCAACACCTCACACACCTGACTCCAACATCTCACACACCTGACTCCAACACCTCACACACCTCACACACCTCACACACCTGACTCCAACACCTCACACACCTGACTCCAACACCTCACACACCTGACTCCAACACCTCACACACCTGACTCCAACACCTCACACACCTGACTCCAACATCTCACACACCTGACTCCAACATCTCACACACCTCACACACCTGACTCCAACATCTCACACACCTGACTCCAACATCTCACACACCTGACTCCAACACCTCACACACCTCACACACCAGACTCCAACACCTCACACACCTCACTCACACACCTCACACACCAGACTCCAACACCTCATACACCAGACTCCAACACCTCACACACCAGACTCCAACATCTCACACACCTCACACACCAGACTCCAACACCTCACACACCAGACTCCAACACCTCACACACCAGACTCCAACACCTCACACACCAGACTCCAACATCTCACACACCTGACTCCAACATCTCACACACCTGACTCCAACACCTCACACACCTCACACACCAGACTCCAACACCTCACACACCTGACTCCATCGACTCCAACATCTCACACACCTCACACATCTGACTCCATCGATTCCAACATCTCACACACCTCACACACCAGACTCCAACACCTCACACACCTCACACACCAGACTCCAACGACTCCAACACCTCACACACCTCACACATCTGACTCCATTGACTCCAACATCTCACACACCTCACACACCTGACTCCAACACCTCACACACCTGACTCCAACATCTCCAACATCTCACACACCTGACTCCAACACCTCACACACCTCACACACCTGACTCCAACACCTCCAACATCTCACACACCTGACTCCAACACCTCACACACCTCACACACCAGACTCTAACACCTCACACACCTCACACACCAGACTCCAACACCTCACACACCTGACTCCAACATCTCACACACCTGACTCCAACATCTCACACACCTCACACACCTGACTCCAACACCTCACACACCTGACTTCAACACCTCACACATCTGACTCCATCGACTCCAACATCTCACACACCTCACACATCTGACTCCATCGACTCCAACATCTCACACACCTCACACACCTGACTCCATCACCTCACACACCTGACTCCAACACCTCACACACCTGACTCCAACACCTCACACACCTGACTCCATCACCTCACACACCTGACTCCAACACCTCACACACCTGACTCCAACACCTCACACATCTGACTCCATCGACTCCAACATCTCACACACCTGACTCCAACACCTCCAACATCTCACACACCTGACTCCAACACCATCGACTCCAACACCTCACACACCTGACTCCAACACCTCAAACATCTGACTCCAACATCTCACACACCTCACACACCTGACTCCAACACCTCCAACATCTCACACACCTGACTCCAACACCTCACACATCTCACACACCTGACTCCAACACCATCGCCTCACACACCTGACTCCAACATCTCACACACCTGACTCCAACACCTCACACATCTGACTCCAACATCTCACACACCTCACACACCTCACACACCTGACTCCAACATCTCACACACCTCACACACCTCACACACCTGACTCCAACACCTCACACACCTGACTCCAACACCTCACACACCTGACTCCAACATCTCACACACCTGACTCCAACATCTCACACACCTGACTCCAACATCTCACACACCTGACTCCAACATCTCACACACCTCACACACCTGACTCCAACACCTCACACACCTGACTCCAACACCTCCAACACCTCACACACCTGACTCCAACATCTCACACACCTGACTCCAACATCTCACACACCTCACACACCTGACTCCAACACCTCCAACACCTCACACACCTGACTCCAACATCTCACACACCTGACTCCAACATCTCACACACCTGACTCCAACATCTCACACACCTCACACACCTGACTCCAACACCTCACACACCTGACTCCAACACCTCCAACACCTCACACACCTGACTCCAACATCTCACACACCTGACTCCAACATCTCACACACCTCACACACCTGACTCCAACACCTCCAACACCTCACACACCTGACTCCAACATCTCACACACCTGACTCCAACATCTCACACACCTGACTCCATCGACTCCAACATCTCACACACCTGACTCCAACATCTCACACACCTGACTCCAACATCTCACACACCTGACTCCAACATCTCACACACCTGACTCCAACATCTCACACACCTGACTCCAACATCTCACACACCTGACTCCAACACCTCACACACCTGACTCCAACACCTCACACACCTGACTCCAACATCTCACACACCTGACTCCAACACCTCACACACCTGACTCCAACATCTCACACACCTGACTCCATCGACTCCAACATCTCACACACCTGACTCCATCGACTCCAACATCTCACACACCTGACTCCAACACCTCACACACCTGACTCCAACATCTCACACACCTGACTCCAACACCTCACACACCTGACTCCATCGACTCCAACACCTCACACACCTGACTCCAACATCTCACGCACCTGACTCCAACACCTCACACACCTGACTCCAACATCTCACACACCTGACTCCATCGACTCCAACACCTCACACACCTGACTCCATCGACTCCAACATCTCACACACCTGACTCCAACATCTCACACACCTGACTCCATCGACTCCAACATCTCACACACCTGACTCCAACATCTCACACACCTGACTCCATCGACTCCAACACCTCACACACCTGACTCCATCGACTCCAACATCTCACACACCTGACTCCAACATCTCACACACCTGACTCCAACACCTCACACACCTGACTCCATCGACTCCAACATCTCACACACCTGACTCCATCGACTCCAACATCTCACACACCTGACTCCAACACCTCACACACCTCACACACCTGACTCCAACATCTCACACAACTGACTCCAACATCTCACACACCTCACACACCTGACTCCAACACCTCCAACACCTCACACACCTGACTCCAACATCTCACACACCTGACTCCAACATCTCACACACCTGACTCCAACATCTCACACACCTGACTCCAACACCTCACACACCTGACTCCATCGACTCCAACATCTCACACACCTGACTCCAACATCTCACACACCTGACTCCAACATCTCACACACCTGACTCCAACATCTCACACACCTGACTCCAACACCTCACACACCTGACTCCAACACCTCACACACCTGACTCCAACACCTCACACACCTGACTCCAACATCTCACACACCTGACTCCATCGACTCCAACATCTCACACACCTGACTCCATCGACTCCAACATCTCACACACCTGACTCCAACACCTCACACACCTCACACACCTGACTCCAACATCTCACACACCTGACTCCAACACCTCACACACCTGACTCCATCGACTCCAACACCTCACACACCTGACTCCAACATCTCACGCACCTGACTCCAACACCTCACACACCTGACTCCATCGACTCCAACATCTCACACACCTGACTCCATCGACTCCAACACCTCACACACCTGACTCCATCGACTCCAACATCTCACACACCTGACTCCAACACCTCACACACCTGACTCCATCGACTCCAACATCTCACACACCTGACTCCAACATCTCACACACCTGACTCCATCGACTCCAACACCTCACACACCTGACTCCATCGACTCCAACATCTCACACACCTGACTCCAACATCTCACACACCTGACTCCAACACCTCACACACCTGACTCCATCGACTCCAACATCTCACACACCTGACTCCAACACCTCACACACCTCACACACCTGACTCCAACATCTCACACACCTGACTCCAACACCTCACACACCTGACTCCATCGACTCCAACACCTCACACACCTGACTCCAACATCTCACGCACCTGACTCCAACAGCTCACACACCTGACTCCATCGACTCCAACATCTCACACACCTGACTCCATCGACTCCAACACCTCACACACCTGACTCCATCGACTCCAACATCTCACACACCTGACTCCAACATCTCACACACCTCACACACCTGACTCCAACACCTCACACACCTGACTCCATCAACTCCAACATCTCACACACCTGACTCCATCGACTCCAACACCTCACACACCTGACTCCAACATCTCACACACCTGACTCCATCGACTCCAACATCTCACACACCTGACTCCAACATCTCACACACACACCTGACTCACACACCTGACTCCAACACCTCACTCACCTGACTCACACACCTGATGCGTTTCACCACAGTTTGCTGTAGCTCAAAGCAAAGCACAACATCCCTGAAAACATTGATAACAATACTGAAGTGACTACTGATTAGTTTATCTGCAGTGACGTAATTGATAATGCAAGAGTAATGCGTTGTTCTCTTCTCTGCTGTCTTCTTCAGGAATTACATCAGCTACATGCTGACCATCACTGTTCTGTATTTAGCGTTCCCTGTTCTCATCATGCAATCCTCCTACAATGGCATCTATGCACATTTCAAAAAGACACACCACTTTAAGGTATTCGCACACTCTCTCCAAGTACGATTTTAAAGGAAGTATACAAACACAATCATTCTAGTTTTAAAGGAACTCGCTTTACACAGTTTTATAGTCTCCTCAGTTGTAGATCAGGATCTAGTGCTCATCGTTCTGTGTGCTTTAAGGTCTCGTTCTTGCATTGAAAGATTGCTGGTATAGTTTCTGTGATCGGACCAGACAGTGAATGCATCAGCAGCTCCTTCTCTCTGTCCTGTAGTTTAACACAGGCTTACCGCTGAAGATGCTGTTGTTCTGCTGGGGTCCGTATGTTCTGATGTGCACATACGCCTGCTTCGAGAACGCCAGTCTCGTTTCACCGAAGCTCAGGATGGTAAGAGAACCGTAATCAAACATGGATAAATCTTCTCTTCTCTTAATCAGCACAGTTCAGAATCTCAGTCTTCTACTTGTAAATCCTGCAGGTTCTCCCGGTGCTCGCAAAGACGTCTCCGATCTTCCACGCCGTCATGTACGCGTACGGTAACGAGTTCTACCGCGGGGGAATCTGGCAGTTCCTCACGGGACAGAAACCTGTGGACAAGAAGAAATAAGAGTGAAAGTCCGTTCGTCCGTCCATGAAATGTTGTATTCAGAAGAATCTACAAGCGTTCACACATGATGATGTTTATGTCGAATCAGTGCCTAACACATTTGGAGATGTTTGTCCAGAATTTCCCTGAATTATTAATTGAAGACTGAAGTGTGAGAGATGACTAACAATTCCCACAATTCATTCAGGACATTCATTGTTGATGCCTTATGGGTCAGTATTCATGTGTGAATCTATGAAGAAAGAGGATTTTTCTAGCCAAAGCTTGAATCCAGTGAATGGACCGCTAATAACAAAAGGGCCTTTCTTTGTAAATCCACAGAATAAACGTGAGGCTTAAGACGGTTGTCACAGTTTCTTTAGGGGCCCTTCAGGGGACTGATGCTTATAAAGGCTAATGAACTCAACGAGCCTGTTGACATCAGAGGGTCATTCTTCTTCACTGGTTTCATTCATAAACACTCACTAAACGCTCCCATTCCTCTACATCAGGGGTAGGCAAGTTCGGTCCTAGAGAGCCGCTGTCCTGCAGCGTTTGGCTCCAACACTGAAAAAAACCTCTCCTGCCTATAGCCTTAGTAATCCTGAAGACATCGATTAGCTTGTTCAGGTGTGTTTGATTAGGGTTGGAACTAAATTCTGCAGGACAGCGGCTCTCTAGGACCGAACTTGCCTACCCCTGCTCTACATGTGTGAGTTAGGGGTCCCAATGTCTAAATTATGCAGGTGCTTTTATTGAAGTTCATTATTCCAGGTTGAGAGATCTTCATGGATGGTTTCAGTGGTTAGCTCAGGTCTCTGAACAGTGGCTAATAATCAACATGCACATTTAGGATTAAGAGATCTGCAGGCTTTTGTAATCTTCAGTAATTCCTCTGCACAAGGAGCTGCTCTCATATCGGCAGATTTGGGTTTGTGACGCGTGTTTGTTTCCCAAAGCGGATCAGGATCATTAATGCGCTGGTCACAGGGTTAGGGTTCACATGCTGACCAACAGCTCTCTGAAACCCTCCTCTTCCTCACACACACAAACACACACACAAACCAGTGCAGATCAGAAACCTTACTCTTCCTCATACACACACACACACACACACCAGTGCAGAGCAGAAACCTTCCTCTTTCACACACACACACACACACACACACACACACACCAGTGCAGATCTGAAACCCTCCTCTTTCACACACACACACACACACACACACACACCAGTGCAGATCTGAAACCCTCCTCTTACACACACACACACACAAGTGCAGATCTGAAACCCTCCTCTTCCTCACACACACACAAACACCAGTGCAGAGCTGAAACCCTCCTCTTTCACACACACACACACACACACACACACACACATCAGTGCAGATCTGAAACCCTCCTCTTCCTCATACACACACATCAGTGCAGATCTGAAACCCTCCTCTTCCTCATACACACACACACACCAGTGCAGAGCAGAAACCTTCCTCTTTCGCACACACACACACACACCAGTGCAGATCTGAAACCCTCCTCTTTCACACACACACACACCAGTGCAGATCTGAAACCCTCCTCTTCCTCACACACACACACAAACACCAGTGCAGATCTGAAACCCTCCTCTTTCACACACACACACACCAGTGCAGAGCAGAAACCTTCCTCTTTCACACACACACACACACACACACACCAGTGCAGAGCAGAAACCTTCCTCTTTCACACACACACACACCAGTGCAGATCTGAAACCCTCCTCTTCCTCATACACACACAGCAGACGAACACACACTCGTCAGAGAGTCAGAGACTGCAGGGTCAGAGCAGACGAACACACACTCGTCAGAGAGTCAGAGACTGCAGGGTCAGAGCAGACGAACACACACTCGTCAGAGAGCCGGAGACTGCAGAGTCAGAGCAGACGAACACACACTCGTCAGAGAGTCAGAGACTGCAGGGTCAGAGCAGACGAACACACACTCGTCAGAGAGTCAGAGACTGCAGGGTCAGAGCAGACGAACACACACTCGTCAGAGAGTCAGAGACTGCAGGGTCAGAGCAGACGAACACACACTCGTCAGAGAGTCAGAGACTGCAGGGTCAGAGCAGACGAACACACACTCGTCAGAGAGTCAGAGACTGCAGGGTCAGAGCAGACGAACACACACTCGTCAGAGAGTCAGAGACTGCAGGGTCAGAGCAGACGAACACACACTCGTCAGAGAGCCGGAGACTGCAGGGTCAGAGCAGACGAACACACACTCGTCAGAGAGTCAGAGACTGCAGGGTCAGAGCAGACGAACACACACTCGTCAGAGAGTCAGAGACTGCAGGGTCAGAGCAGACGAACACACACTCGTCAGAGAGTCAGAGACTGCAGGGTCAGAGCAGACGAACACACACTCGTCAGAGAGCCGGAGACTGCAGGGTCTGAGCAGACGAACACACACTCGTCAGAGAGCCGGAGACTGCAGGGTCAGAGCAGACGAACACACACTCGTCAGAGAGTCAGAGACTGCAGGGTCAGAGCAGACGAACACACACTCGTCAGAGAGTCAGAGACTGCAGGGTCAGAGCAGACGAACACACACTCGTCAGAGAGTCAGAGACTGCAGGGTCAGAGCAGACGAACACACACTCGTCAGAGAGCCGGAGACTGCAGGGTCAGAGCAGACGAACACACACTCGTCAGAGAGTCAGAGACTGCAGGGTCAGAGCAGACGAACACACACTCGTCAGAGAGTCAGAGACTGCAGGGTCAGAGCAGACGAACACACACTCGTCAGAGAGTCAGAGACTGCAGGGTCAGAGCAGACGAACACACACTCGTCAGAGAGTCAGAGACTGCAGGGTCAGAGCAGACGAACACACACTCGTCAGAGAGTCAGAGACTGCAGGGTCAGAGCAGACGAACACACACTCGTCAGAGAGCCGGAGACTGCAGGGTCAGAGCAGACGAACACACACTCGTCAGAGAGTCAGAGACTGCAGGGTCAGAGCAGACGAACACACACTCGTCAGAGAGTCAGAGACTGCAGGGTCAGAGCAGACGAACACACACTCGTCAGAGAGTCAGAGACTGCAGGGTCAGAGCAGACGAACACACACTCGTCAGAGAGCCGGAGACTGCAGGGTCTGAGCAGACGAACACACACTCGTCAGAGAGCCGGAGACTGCAGGGTCAGAGCAGACGAACACACACTCGTCAGAGAGTCAGAGACTGCAGGGTCAGAGCAGACGAACACACACTCGTCAGAGAGTCAGAGACTGCAGGGTCTGAGCAGATGAACACACACTCGTCAGAGAGCCGGAGACTGCAGGGTCAGAGCAGACGAACACACACTCGTCAGAGAGTCAGAGACTGCAGGGTCAGAGCAGACGAACACACACTCGTCAGAGAGTCAGAGACTGCAGGGTCAGAGCAGACGAACACACACTCGTCAGAGAGTCAGAGACTGCAGGGTCAGAGCAGACGAACACACACTCGTCAGAGAGTCAGAGACTGCAGGGTCAGAGGAGACGAACACACACTCGTCAGAGAGTCAGAGACTGCAGGGTCAGAGCAGATGAACACACACTCGTCAGAGAGTCAGAGACTGCAGGGTCAGAGCAGACGAACACACACTCGTCAGAGAGTCAGAGACTGCAGGGTCAGAGGAGACGAACACACACTCGTCAGAGAGTCAGAGACTGCAGGGTCTGAGCAGACGAACACACACTCGTCAGAGAGCCGGAGACTGCAGGGTCAGAGCAGACGAACACACACTCGTCAGAGAGCCGGAGACTGCAGGGTCAGAGCAGACGAACACACACTCGTCAGAGAGTCAGAGACTGCAGGGTCAGAGGAGACGAACACACACTCGTCAGAGAGTCAGAGACTGCAGGGTCAGAGCAGATGAACACACACTCGTCAGAGAGTCAGAGACTGCAGGGTCAGAGCAGACGAACACACACTCGTCAGAGAGTCAGAGACTGCAGGGTCAGAGCAGACGAACACACACTCGTCAGAGAGTCAGAGACTGCAGGGTCAGAGCAGATGAACACACACTCGTCAGAGAGTCAGAGACTGCAGAGTCAGAGCAGATGAACACACACTCGTCAGAGAGTCAGAGACTGCAGGGTCAGAGCAGACGAACACACACTCGTCAGAGAGTCAGAGACTGCAGGGTCTGAGCAGACGAACACACACTCGTCAGAGAGTCAGAGACTGCAGGGTCAGAGCAGATGAACACACACTCGTCAGAGAGTCAGAGACTGCAGGGTCAGAGCAGACGAACACACACTCGTCAGAGAGTCAGAGACTGCAGAGTCAGACGAACACACACTCGTCAGAGAGTCAGAGACTGCAGGGTCTGAGCAGACGAACACACACTCGTCAGAGAGTCAGAGACTGCAGGGTCTGAGCAGACGAACACACACTCGTCAGAGAGTCAGAGACTGCAGGGTCAGACGAACACACACTCGTCAGAGAGTCAGAGACTGCAGGGTCAGAGCAGACGAACACACACTCGTCAGAGAGTCAGAGACTGCAGGGTCTGAGCAGACGAACACACACTCGTCAGAGAGTCAGAGACTGCAGGGTCAGACGAACACACACTCGTCAGAGAGTCAGAGACTGCAGGGTCTGAGCAGACGAACACACACTCGTCAGAGAGTCAGAGACTGCAGGGTCTGAGCAGACGAACACACACTCGTCAGAGAGTCAGAGACTGCAGGGTCAGAGCAGACGAACACACACTCGTCAGAGAGTCAGAGACTGCAGGGTCAGAGCAGATGAACACACACTCGTCAGAGAGCCGGAGACTGCAGGGTCAGAGCAGACGAACACACACTCGTCAGAGACTGCAGGGTCAGAGCAGACGAACACACACTCGTCAGAGAGTCAGAGACTGCAGGGTCAGAGCAGACGAACACACACTCGTCAGAGAGTCAGAGACTGCAGGGTCAGAGCAGACGAACACACACTCGTCAGAGAGCCAGAGACTGCAGGGTCTGAGCAGACGAACACACACTCGTCAGAGAGTCAGAGACTGCAGGGTCAGAGCAGACGAACACACACTCGTCAGAGAGTCAGAGACTGCAGGGTCTGAGCAGACGAACACACACTCGTCAGAGAGTCAGAGACTGCAGGGTCAGAGCAGACGAACACACACTCGTCAG